ACAGAGCAAAGAGACACAGCCAAGGGAATGGTTAGATAAAAGGCAGCTCAGCCCTTAGCGGGAATGTGAGCAGGCAAGAGGCTCAGGTTCTTGGGCTACAAAGGAGATGGGAGGAGAGATGTACTTTCAGACTTGCATGATTCTGTTAATGTAGCTTTGCAATAAAGTAGAATTGGCTCATCTGGTCATGTTTCCTGTCTGATCTACCTCCTAAGGCTGACAGTCGTAGAGGTACAAAAACAGAATCACTCACTCCTGGACTTACCATTTCTGATGTTTTGTTATTGGCTCTATCTCATGCTGTCTGATCTTCTCCTCCATCTGTGTGTTTTTTCTTGTCCAGCATATATTGAGATTTTAACATCGTATTCATTGTCAAAGACCAAAGGGAAAATTCTAGTCCTTCCAGCCTTTTCACAGACTAAAATCTTCCTGTTTCTATTTGAAAAATTACCCATTTCTTTCTTTTCTAACCTTTCTTTAAATACAAACAATGGTTCGCTGTCACTGAGAATGCAGAGACATGGGTTCAACAATTTGGTTGATATGGGTAGGCCACATAACCTCCAGTTTTTGTTTTAATTCAATTTACAGATGGAGCAAAAAGCCATTTGGGTATCAGCTAAGCCTTACCAGAGCAGACAAGCTCTTTCCCCTTTACAGCTTTAGCGCTCCACATTAATATGTATTCTCTTTTGATTATTAATAATTTGATTTTTTAAAAGTTTGTGTATTCTTTATTTTTAAGAGAAATAAAGCAGAGAAAACTATAACAAAGGAAACAAAAACAACAGATTTCGCACCCATAGACCTATGTGAAAATTCTACATAAACATTTCCATAAATGGTAACCAGTTTCATTACTATAATCTATAAATAATCTACCTCAGTAAATAATTCACTTGTATCTTGCTAATAAGAGCAACTCTGCAAAACATTGAGTAGTTGGGGCCATATGTGAAGAATAAGTCTTTTAGCTATAAGTAGGGTGTGGGCAATTCTCTTTCTTCCTATGTCATGTGATACAGTTGTAGTTCAACAGATTATAACCATCTGAAAATATTAGATCTTATCTCACCGTAGAGTTTATGCATGTAATTACTTCCTCCCAAAAGGAACAATTATAGAACTGTATAAACGTACATTTAAATGAAGTGTTAATCTCACTGTATTTCCAACAACATGACAATTTAGTTTTTCCTCATGGGCGTCTATTAAAACAAATTAGAGACTTCAGCATATAATTAACTAAAAAATACAAGGTAGAAACTAAAAGAATTAGCATGATAACAGTTATAAGGAAAACAATTACAGGATGTATTGCAAAGTTTAACATGTTTTCAATGGCTGGATTTCAGCCTGAAAAGATGGCTAGTGCGATCTTCAGTATACTATGGGATAGACAGATATAGATTTTGGCTGGGTATTTTGTAGTTGCTCACCCCTGTAACCTTCAGGTAATCCCACTAACATCAGGAATCCATTGCATCTGTGCTAATACTGGTCAGCAAAACAGCACAGAAGTGGTGTCATTTTCAGGTGAGGCTGGGTGAGATCTTGACATAACTTCCTGATGGGAAAATATCATGGAGTAGGAACAGGAATGTGGCCAGCATGTAAGGGGGAGCCCATGAGAGAAGCAGGAACTATAACCAAAACATCTTTTTTTAAAATTAATTAATTAATTAATTAATTAACATGGCTGCCCATCTCAAGTACATGACTCTGGGTGGCTCACAACACAAAAATAACCTATACACACACATGCACAAATACCAAAAAATAAAGCAAAGAATAAAACACAGCAGCCAGAGAATCATAAAAACAGCCATCAGCATAACCAGGAGACAGGCCTTATGACACACCTGAGACCCTAGGCTTGAGCACAGAACCAGGCCTTCAAAGCCTTATGAAAGGCCAGCAGAATTGGGGCCAACCTGATCTTTGGAGGGAGGATATTTCAGAGGGTGGGTGCCACAATAGAAAACTCTCTCCTATAGCCCCCTCCCCAGCTCCTTGGCCAACAGTACCAATAGCATGATTCTCCTGCTGGATTGGGTAGGATGGCGGGAAACAACCAGGAAGAGACAGTTCCATAAGTAACCCAGCCCCATGCCATATAGGGCTTTAAAGATAACTACTAGCACCTTGAATTGCAATTGGAAGCAAACTGGTAGCCAATGCAGCTCTCAGGGCTGAAGTGTCACATGAGCCAAATAACTGATGCCATTAACTGCCTGCACCATGCATTCTGCACCAGCTGAAGTTTCTGAATGTGCTTTAAGGGCAGCCCCACATAGAGTGTGTGGCAGTAGTACAATCAGGAGGTTATAAGGGCATGAGTGACTGTGAGCTGGGCCTGCCAATCTGGGCACAAATGACGTACAAATGACAAAGCTGTGCAAAGGCCCTCCTAGCCGTGGCTATAACCTGTTCTTTGAGCAGGAACTGTGAGACCAGGAGAAACCCCAGATTGCATATGGACTCTCTCTGAGGCAATGCCACCCCATCCAAAACCAAAGAGGGAGGGTCCCTGGAACAAGGAGGTCCAAAAACCCAAAACCATTCAGTCTTGCTTGGGTTGAGCTGAAGCCTGTTGTGACCCATCCAGGCCCCTACAGCCTCCAGGCACTGAAACAGAACTTCCACAGCATCTCTCAAATGACCCCAAATCATTGGATAACCTCACCCAGCAGCTTCATATAGATGTTAAACAAGAAGGGAGGGAGTACCAAACTCTGCAACACCACACAAGGTAGGGACCAAGGGCCAGACCTCTCTCTTCCTATAAACACTGACTAGCACTGACCCCAGAGGAAGACAGAGAACAAGCACAATACAGTGTTGCCCACCCTGGCTCCTGGAGTCAGTCCAGAAGGATGCCATGATCAGTAGTACTGAAAGCTGCTGAAAGGTCAAGAAGAGCTAGGATGAATGTACCACCCCCATCCCGCTCCTGCCAGATGTCATCCAAGGTGCAATCAAAGCCAACTTGGTCCCATCCCCTGGCCTGAATCCTGACTGAAAGGGGTCTAGATAATCCACTTCTTCCAGAGTCCTCTGAAAATTAGTGTGATATTATGGAGACACCACAAAGTCTGAAGCCATGATCCAGATTGCCAAATTTGATCAAAACGCATATCCAGCAAGGATACTGACCTTTCCATGTCAAGGAAAAATTACCATTCCTGCCAGGTTAATTTAGCAACATCTAAGCATAGAGGGGCAGTGTTATCAGGACAAAGAACCCAATCAGAAGTCCCAGGTTCTTTGTGAGAATTTCCCCAGCTGGATCATGTTGGTTTGGGTAATGCTGCCAGCCAATTGGGTGCAGGGCACAGAGGGAGGTGGGAAAGAGGTTGGGGATATGCTCATGATGATCATGTCACCTGGGCTGACCACAGCAGCGTGGCAGCATAGCAGTGCTGAACTAGCCACAAATGTCCCAAATTTCAATACCACGGGAGTAATGGGTCCTGGATTTTGCATGCATTCTGTAAGTTAGACCATTTGAGGTACCTTGGTTCAAAAAATATTGCCGTGTGACACACCGTTTCACCCAGTTGAAGGTTAAAGACATGAGACTTTTATTAGTATATAGATTTCTCTACAATTGATCATATAAATTGAAACACTGGACTCCTAATATTATAAGCCTTAACCAAAAAATGGCAAAAAAAAAAAAAGTCCCCTGCCAGGGAAATTTGTTAAGCAGCAGTAATAAAACAGAATGAGTAGCTCTGTAAAATTGGCAGTGTACATAATCCACTGTGTCAACCATTCTCATCTGACTAGGTACTCATGCAACTCTCCCCTCCATTACAATAGAAAACAAGCCCCAAAGGAGATCAAAGTGTCTTGAGAAATGCAAGACTAAGAGAGAGATTTTGCCAGAAGAAATGTTTTATTATCATTTCCTACCACCAAACACCATAACATCAAATTTCTGTTTCTTTGAAGAACTCCATCCCAAACTTTCAATGTTAGACAGAATGGGCTCCAACATTTCTCTTCATCTGGAGCAAATGTTGTCAACCAGCATCAGAGGACACATCGCTGCTCGACAGAACATCAGAAATGGATTGTGTGAGGTCAAGACCAAGCTTCTGAGGAGACTGTTCCAGATTCTACGCAGATAGCAGCATTAGGAATGCATCAAGGCAATCCCAAAATGACCCAGAGGGATAAGATATATGAAGGAAGATTGAATGAGTTAAGTGCAAGGGGAAAACCAAGAAAGTTGTGCTTCAGTTGAGTTAATGAGATCCTGAAAGTGAGAGTCAGAAGTTGAAAGAATAAGAGAGAACGTATGTGGTGGTGAAAGCCAGGATGAATGGCAAGAATAAAAAAGCATAGTGAATGGTATTGGTGTAAACTAGATTGAGTTTGATTTCCTTTTCTTTTATCTCCTGTTTTTTATTTCCTTTTGCTTACCACTTTCCACTCTTCTTCTGAACATTGCATAATATTGCTCCAGCCCAAAGGGAATACCATAAAGGGTATGCCTGAATATGCAGGATGTGTATTTAGAATCTCACACCCAAAACCCATCCAGAACAGGGCAGAACTTCCTGAAACCACATGATAATCACTCCTATTCCCTCAACTTACTGAACCTAGTCAACTATTAGTCAACTGAGATTTCCTTAATGGTAACTGTGACAGTACATAAACTGTTTTGGGACTACAATTCCCACTTGCTTTCCCTAGGAAGTGTCTAGTATCCCATGAGCACTTGCACTAGGAAAGCATTGGCAAGGCTTCATTTCCTCATTAGTCCCTTCCCCATTGGTCAGGTAGGCAGCTTTCACCACTGTGTGAAAGCTATGTTTACATTGCCAAGGGTAGGCAGGGAGCTGACCAATCTCAAGGCATGCTGGGAGATGGCTTTTAACATCTGGAGAGCCAATCTTGAAACAGAACTACATGCAAATTTGTGGAAATAGAAAGAGACAGTAAGATGTACAGATATGAAGAAGCCCCTTTGTTGCTTGCACTTATTATGATGATTTGGCACGAGGAAGAGCACAAATCTTGTAAGGAGAGGGCTGCACAAGCCCTGTTAATATGTATTTTTGACTGAACTTTTTCACTCCTTCTGGGATCTGCAGCCTAAATATCCTCAGCAGGCTGGTGAAGATAATGAAGATCTCAATCTTTGCAAGGAGTTCCCCCACACAGACCCGAGCTCCTGTAGAGAAAATAAAAGTAGAACATCAATAGTAACCCAATCTTTGCTAGGGGTTCCCCCAAGCAGACATGAGCTCCTGCATAGAAAATACAGGAAAAGCAGAAGGTCAGTAATATTCCTTTCCTTCTATTCTTTAAAAAGGGAAGGATACCTCAAGTGTAGGTAAGAAATATTTCAGTGTATAGAAGCTGTAGCACTTATAGTTTTACTGGAAGATTGGTGAGGAGGAATCAGATTGTTGTGTGTACCTCTTTCCTTTAGGTGCATGGTAAATACAACTTTATATTCCTATGTAATGGTTGAGTACATAATAGAAAATTAAGCAAATATTTATTTTAGTCACTAAAGGGTTATACTTGGGTTATACTTTGTTTTCCCTGTCCTTGGTGGGACATCTGTGTGGAGTAGGATGATTGTTCTCATCATCATCAATAAGGAAACAGATACTCCTTAACTTTGAAATGGTCTCACCACCACCTGACATGAACAAATATTCCTTAACCTTCATGGTCTTATTTTTGGCAGAACTAAGCAAAGCATTCTAAGCACAAGATAAGATGAACTTGTTCTTGGTCTCAACTCCAGTGACAAGAGAACATCAACTACAGGTGTGAATAATGGTGGCTCAGAGTCTATATAAGCTAGTCAAAAAAAAACCCGTGGGAGAAACTTGGATGCAGACTTAATTGGCAGTGCTGTATGTTGGCTGGCTTTGAAAGGGTCTGTCTGCCATCATTTCTTTGAGGTTCCCTGACTATCAGAAGGGGGATAAGATCTTTCTTTGTCTTATCGTATTCTTGAATATTCTTTGATCATGGGTTATGTAATATTCTTTAATATTCTTCAATATTCTTTTATTTCTGTCTTGTGTTATGTTATTATGTTGTTTTCTTATATTGTCTCAGAATAAAGGCTTAAGTACTCATATGGGTGTGGTTATTGCTTCTGAATCCAAAAGAACCTGGGGCCCAACCTTGCTGGGATGCGGGCAGAGCAATACAGAAGCCCAACACATTTTGGAATGTGTCTTATCATTAATAATTTGTAACTGAAATGTTTTGGTTAACAAGAAAGGAACCTTTGGCAAAAGATTTTCTTTAAACATGTTGGGCTTCTGTATAGTAAAATATTTCCTACTGATATCTCATGTGGTCTTTTGAGATGGTTTCAGCCATCTCAAAAGATGTCCTCTTTTTCCGGCTATTCTTTAACCATTTTTTCAGTTGGCAATTGGTTTTAATCCTGAGAAAGGAATCAATGCTGGTGAGCCAAAACTTCATCTTTGTTGACTTCCCTGGACCCATACACAATTATGAACATGCCGACATATATTCTCCAATTCTTGCACATGGATCACTTTCTATTTTTCTTAAATTTAGAGTTACAAAATATTCCTGGTCATAACACAGTCACATTATATTGTCATTCCAACATTTACAAACAATGAAGATAAGCTATTTCTTGCATAGAAAATTCTAATATGTGGGATACATTAATTCCCCTAAAATGCAGTAGTTGGGGATTGGTTTGCTGACTCCTTTCCCATCCTCAGGGGGCTGCCCTTTGGCCCTACAATGCACAACAGGGATAGACTTGTTGAGAGATTCCATGTTTTGCCCAAAACTCAGCTAGTTTCTACTGGCTCTTTCTTGGCCCTTTTCCTATGATGCAAGCCAGCTGTCCTCTCTCTGAGTCATTGCTGTTTTCATCACACACTGGCAGTATCTAATATTATGGCCAGTTTTATCATTCTTCCATTTTCAGTGGAGATACCTAAGAGTTCTCACTTCCTGACTGACTTCTTTTTTTCCTTTCTTTTCCCCTCAAGCTGAAGCAAATCATTTTTAAGAAATACATGGAGGAGGAACTAGATCCAGGCCAGTGTGGAAAGATTCAGAGGTGTCCTCCTCACCTCCCACCTTTTTATACTTTGTTTTCGACCCTTCTATGTGCCTAAGGAGAAAGAAATGAACCAAAATACGTAACGATGAAGGGCCTACAAGGGCCCTATTTTTATAGGTGCCCCTGGGACATTTGCTTCCATCTGAGGAGAAGAAAGTTAACCTTTTAGTCTGGAGTTCCTACAACATAAGCAGTTGGAATTAGCTTAGCTGCATTCATTACCAAATGCCTGAGGTTAATCTAATATGATGTGAGTTAGTTCTTGGGCTCAGGGAACCCCTTTTAGAATTTTTATGCTACTCTAACCTCTAGTCCCATTCATCCAGTTAAGTGTTGTGGGAAGAACAACCTTAATTCTACTATTTTCCAAATCCCCAGGTGACATGGAACATTTTTTTCTTTCCTTTTTAAACCTCAACCCCAACTAAAGATTACCTGCTCCAAATGGCACAAATCCTTCTCTTGATACAAAATGTCCTTCCTTGTCCAAAAAATGGTTGGGGTTGAACTCTTCAGGTGTCTCCCAAAGTTCAGGATCAAAAAGAACAGAACGCAGGTCTGGAGCAATAACAGCTCCCTAAGAAAGAAAAAAAAAATGACTCATCAATCTAGACAAGCATAATTCTTGTCTCTAGCTATCCTTTTTGTATTAGTTGCTTTCTTCAACTAAGTCTAAATCATCACATGCACTTAATTTGGAAGGCATTTCTACTATTTTATTTAATTGGGAGTGGCCTCAAGATGGCAATGGGTGAGCAGCTCTTAATCTATGCTCTCTGTTTTATTCTATTCTATCTTTCAATTTATTTTCATTTTTATATACTTTTAATTTACTTTTTATAAAGTATAACACCTGGGATGTCATCTATCTGCTCCAGCTACAACTTAGTAAAACATAAAACAGGACTCAAGAATGGGAAAAAGGAAGAAGAGACAGCACTCCACAACACAGATGCCACCCAAGACTTTGAAGCAGCAGAAAGTGGATGAATATACAATAAACAGACAAGTTCAGTAAGTAACTCTGACCCTACTTACTCTCCAGGTAGACATCACACTCATAACTCTTTGGAATGGAATCTACAGACAGAAGCTGAAAGTCAACAGCTTATGGAACTTTCTTCTTCCCTGGTAGAGGATACGTATCTCCCTAGATTGCTTATGCAAGATGGGGATGATATGAACTTAAAAAGGGAGAATGTAACAGACTTCACAGCTAGGCAATGCCTGCTCACAGTGCAAATGGCGATCTCGATCTTCAAACTTTTGACTCAAAAATAAGGTTGATCTACCAAAGGAGCCCTTTGTAAAGTATACTGAGAGTCACCCAAATAGAACAGCAGAAGCTGTAAAGACACATGCTGCTTACACCAACAAGCAGCTAACAGGGAATTTAGAGCTGACCCCACTCCAAAATTTACTAGGAGAGAAAGAGATAACTGTGGAGGGCTTAACTCTTAAACAGAAAAGGGGCAGAGACAAGGTAAGTGCAATTATTTACAGACCAATCAGATCACTCTGCATACTTCCAACAATAGAAAGAACAGAGGGCGATGGGACTTCAAAAAGGCAGTTATTCTGTCCTTCAGCAAGCTCCTTCACTGCAAAAGCTCTTGGATAAATCTACCTCATGCCAAATGGCTGCCATCTAGAAGAGGCTGCAGGCAAATTCTGCCAACATTTAAGCAATCTACAGTCCCTAGCGTGCTTTTCAAAATGAAGCCCTCCCTGAGCTCAATATTCCCACTACATGTCTTCTGTTCAGAGAAAGCTAGCCTGCTTTTGGATCAGTTTTCCAAAGACGGTTTTACCCCTTTAAAATCTAAGAGTAACCATTTGAGCCCAGATAACCTCAGGAATGTTTCACCAGCAATGACCTTGAGAAAGAGGAGCTCTAATCAACAAACTGCATTATCTATAGCCAGAGAGTCTGCTGTGGACTCACTGGAAGAAAAATTGATTGACTAATTTGGTGCATTGACAGATTCAGAGCAAGCAGACACCAAAAAGGGATTGGATGAAGGACAAGAAGATACACTCCACAGTGAAATGATTAATTAATCTAGTCCTACCATGTACTCAGGACTGTGGCAATAAACTCAATCAGCAAATTGTTAATGACGCCATAGTAACAAAAAGCCCAGGCACACAGACCATCAATGGAGTATCTTTTATGTCTAACTCAGTCCCCGATAATCTGCAGCTGACAAAATGTTATATTAATTAGAGAATCTAAAGTACACAGACTCTGAGAAAAAGGCTCATTTTTTGCTTTCATCAGATCCAGACATGCTTTTAACACCAATACCCTCTTATAGTGTAACTCCCCAATTGTATCCCCCCCCAAAAAATCATTGTGGGGGCTAGAGGGGGATGCTGAAGATCAAACTGACAAAGAAGTATTGTTATTGCAGCAATTAGCAACTACTCAGAAACAAAAGTCTGGCTTTGAGTCTCATGCCATCCCTGGAATTGCCTATTGATATTGTTTTCTCTGGCACCCAAAATACACCCATTTCTCTGACAGTTCATTTTAACACCAAACAGTATTACCAACTTATGTTCCCACTTTTCTTGAGGATCTGTCTCTTACAATGGTCACTACTAGGAACTCAGACTGACATTTGGATACCTCTAAAGCCCTAACAATTCTTTCATGGAATACAGCAGGCTAGAATGCTAAATCCAAAGACTCTGTTTTCATGAATTATGTTGCTGAATTTGACTTACCCCTACTTCAAGAAACCTGCTAGATAACAGCTTGTTTATAAGTGGGTATACATCTTTCTCACTTGCAGCAGCTCCTGGAGTAGGATGAGGTAGATTGTGTGGTGGCTTAAGTATACAAATTCCAACTAAGCTACATTCAAACATTGTACAGTTAGACTCAATGGAGCACTATGTAATGCCTGTGCTGCTAAAATTTAATAATACTTTATTACTATTGGTCAATGTCTGTCTTCTACCTTCTCAAAACAGGTCACACTTTAACAGCTTATGGACCAAACGTGAAGCTTACATAAGTGCTTGTGCCATTTGCCCTCCCCTCACAACCCTCAAGAGAACCTCAGTGAAGCCTCCTCCTCCTGCTCCTCCTCAGCTGACCCACAGAACTGCCTGCCACTTTGCTTGGGGGAGATGGAGCAAAGGGAGCCACAGACCATGAGAAAAACTGCATCCCGCTCCCCATCCCACCGTGTACCCAAGGGCCCCATTCCTCAAAGGAGGAAGAGGGCTCACCCATCAACCGCCAGCACCCCCCAGCCAGCCCTACCTCACTGGCAGGCATCCAAATCTCTCCCTCATCCTTCCCTCACAGCCAACTGCTGTTAAGAGATTTCAAATTTCTGCCTCAGTTCCAAAGCAACCAATCACTGCTCACCTGTCAGGCCTTGCCACCAGCTGATTGACCACAGGGGACAGAGGAAGGCAGGAAAGAGGTCAGGGATATGCCCATGATGATCATGTGACCTGGGCTGATCATGGCAGCACAGCAGCACAGCCACAAATTTCCCAAATTTCAATCCTACAGGAGTAATGGGTCCTGGATTTTGGACACATTTTGTAAGTTAGCCCATTTGAGGTACCTTGGTTCAAAAATTATTGCCCTATGATGCACCATTTTGCCCAGCTGAAGGTTACAGACTGAGAGCTTTAGTAGTATATAGACTAAACAACCCATGACCCACTGGGTCATCATTTCAGAAATATTTCCTTACCTAAACAGAAACAAAATGATGGTGGGTGGATTGCTATTAGTTTGGTTTGAAAATTAAAGAAGAAAACATCTGTTTATTAAAGAAGAAAGGTACATAGCGAGAGAAATACCTCTTTCTCTCCTTCTCTCATGTTATATGTCCTGACTGTTTGATCCTGGAGTCATGCGGCCCTGGCCTCATCCTATTCTTGTTCTCTCCTCCTCCTTGCTGCTTCCCAACAACATTTGGTGTCATCTGTTGACCATGACACCACCACCACCACCCTGTTTCCATGCAGCATAATTAGGCTGGCAATTTTTTTATTTTTTTTTTTATTTTTTACCACAATGCTGTATGGTTCTGTCATCACCACCGAAGTGTTCACACTTCTTGCCAGCTTCCCCACTGATTTGTGGGAAGCTGTCAGGGAGCATTGGAAATAACAATTTTTGCCAAATTTCAATTCCACAGGAGTAATGGGTCCTGGATTTTGGACAGATTCTTTAAGTTAGCCCATTTGAGGTACGTTGACTCAAAAATTGTTGCCCTATGATGCATCATTTTGCCCAATTGAAGGTTACTTTGAGTGCAATTCAAGGTGGTTTTTTTATCATCAATAAAGCCGTACATGGCACAAATTATGTCTGCTCATCCAATTATATCTGCCATGCTCTGGGTGCCTTCTGTGACGCATCTAATAGGACCCAGCATACATGCCTTCTCTGTTGTGGAGCTTGCCCTCTGGAACAGCATTATATCCAAGATTCAGATGGCCCCCAATGCCATTACCCCTTAAGAAGGCCTTAAAGCCCTAGGGCACTGGGGCTGGGATGTTTCGTAAGTCTCGCCTGTGAGGTTTGAGTAAAAAATGTAAATTTTTAATGGGTTCTGGTGCCTTGTATGTTATACAGTATATTGTTTTATTCCCATTATAATTCTCTTTAATTTCTGTTGTTTTTTCTATGTTGAATTTTTAGTGTATTGTTAACCACCCAGAACTCTGGGAATGAGATTACTGGACACATAAATTGCATAAATAAATAAATAAATAAGCAAGCTTTTGAAATGCCACAGATTACATTTCTATAACATGTTATAACAAAAATGGATATCCTTTAACTTTTATTTCTTAGATTAAAATGTATTATTTGAAATCCTTCTGCTTGAATTATTACAGATGGGGTTATCTCCTTATCAATTAAGACATTTTATGGAATTTTTCCAAGATGCCAGCTGTCTCTTCTCATAATGAACTTGGAACCCTTGACGTGTCTTACTAGACAATCTATTGACATTCAAGTTACACAGGTGCTAGAAGTGAACAAAGGTTGTTAATATACATTGCTGACATTTTGGCTCTTCTTGGCAATTCTTAAAGGTCTGTATCCAGATTTTGGATACCAAGTTTTATAATATAATACATTTTGTGACTATATAATAAATTGGAATAAATCTAACATTTTGAGAATTGGGAATAAAGTTTCTGTGGCAATATATAACAAATGGGTTTGTTTATTGTCCAGAATCACTTAAATATTTGCAAAAAATAGTGCCAAGTTGTAGTGGGGAGCAGCTGGCCCTTTCAATCAAAAATCAGCCAGATGTGGCTGGAGGAAGTCATATGACCGCTTAGGGCCAATAGAAGAAAAGAAGGGGGTGTCTGTCAGGTTTTGGCGGGAAGAGTTTTGGGTGTCTTATGTGAGGGAATTGGCAGGAGTCCTGGAGGAGAGGGTTACCTCAGGCAAATGTGAAAGTCATTTAATTAGAATTGTGGTAGGATTTTTTTGAGTGAGGGAGAAACTGGTTGATAAAAAAGAGGTGGCAGCAACAAAGGGGGCTGATTTTCTGCTAATTTTCACCCCCAGATGTCAGTTACCTCAGAACCAAAATACCTCAGAGGGACAGGCTGGTTTGACCCTGAGGGTCCCTTTCTTATTACACAAGTAAATGTAGCTGAGGTGACTATTGTAAACTATATAACTTAGATTAACTGTCATGCCTACAGATGGTTGAAAATACCCATAAAATTTATCTCAGAACCACATATTTGAATTTGCTATGGTCATTCTCATGAAATGAGAAGAATTTTGAGAATTCATATTTTCAAATGCGTTTTCTGGGTTCATACACTGTGCTAAGTATCACTTGCTTAGCCATGGTTGATTAAATAAACCCTAATTGGCTGGATTCATATAACATGCTAAGCCAAAACCAACCCAGCACCTTGTGTCCAGCACAACTGAAAGTTCAGCCAAAGAGTTCCTATATGAAGATGCAGCCTCCAGAAATTCAGTAAGTTAACATTCTTTACCTTGGGAATTAGAAAACCATCCAGATAGACATCCTTCACACATTGTCTTGGTATCCCAAATAAAAGGATGTATTTGCTTCGCATGATCTCATGAATCACAGCATTGGTGTAGGGCAGTTTCTTTAGATCTTGATAACAGATTGAGTGAGATGAACCCAAAACATCTTCTATTTCTTTGTGGACTTTATCTGAGAAAAAGAGTAAGAAAGGGAGTGTTACTGAACACCCTGCAATTTATCTTAGGAAACAAACAAGACAAATATTGAGGGAAATTTTCCATGTGAAAGAATGTCATACGATTGCTGTTTGAAAAACATGAATTGTAAATAATTTGCATGAAAATGGCAGTGAAACAAAACAAATGCTATTATTGTTAGTGTCCAATAAAAATTGTTGGAAAGGAAATCATAAATGTTGCAAGAATGTTGAATAGAGGTAAGTCTGTATAAGACATATCAAGATGAAAATAAGTATAACAAAGATTAAAGTAGCTGGGTTTGACAGGGAAAATTAAATGAACAATTGCTATTTATAGGTAAAGGGCAAAAAAAAACAAACCTGGAGCAATTACAGATAGTCCCTAAGTTAAGAATGCCCAGTTTACAGACAACCTATAATTAAGAACGGACCTTACTGTAGCAAAATTTGAGTTAAATACACACTGATTTGAGTTAAATGCACAATGGTTCGAGTTAATTACACAATACTACTTATGCAATATTATACTTGTTCTGGCTTACATACAAATTCGACTTAAGGACAGACCTTGGGAACAGAACTTGTTCTTAAACGGGACTACCTGTAAATTAATTTTGTGTATCTTAGCAGAATTTTTACTATTTATTTATGTATGTATTTATTTAAACAATTTATATGGCTGTCCACTTCAATACATTAAACACAAGAAATGGAAACCAAAACACAACAGAAGAAAACTACTAAAAAAAATAATTTGATTGATTGATTTATTATGTGCCATCAAGCTGATGGTGACTGTTAGCAACCACATAAACAGATTTTAACCGTGATGATCTGTCCCTAACCTGGTCCTTTAGGTCTTCC